TGTGTGTATGTTGGAGTCTATATGAATGTGCTTGCAAGCATGTTTTTAAATGAAATATAATCTTTGGCCTTAGTTCAAGCAGTGAATGATTCTGAAGTAACTTTAAAAGAAAATCATTTAGGATACAAATGGAAAGATCGTTTTGTGCATGCATGCTGTCTGCGTAGACAGCTTTTCTGTTTTGGATAACCCATGTCTATCCATTCCAAAGTTTAATGTGCATATAGCTGATTTAAATGTTTGGGAAAGACTGAGGTAGAGCGCAAATGATCTGAATCGTAGGTGATGTGATCTTGAGTTTGGTTAGTTTAGACCTGCGGGCTCTGACCCCTGCCCAGAAGCCTCTAAGGTAGGAGCAATGGCGAAGTAGTCCAGGCATTGTTGGGGCTGCCTCTGCTCTTCCTTCTGCCAGCCTACAGGCAGCTGTCGGTGATGTTCCACCTTCCGTGAGGAAATCTGTGAGCATTGATTAGCACAGGTAGGATGGACGAGAACCGTTTGCCCATCCTAACACCCTGGAGGATGGTGACCTGGGGAGGTGTGTGTGCCTTTGCCTTTATGAGGTATGAAACAGAAGTAAACATCCACAATGGACACTAGGAGGAGGTCTCTGAATACAATAAAAAACTGCAACCAAGAGTGACTGAAGGACCGCCCCACTTCGGAGGCACTGACATGGAAATCTTGGGGCTAAGAAGGACTTAACCATGCAAACATGGCGTGCAGACAGCTCAGACTGTTAAAGCAAAGGCCCTGCAAATAAAGTACTTGCCTGCAAAAGGGACCCTGGGATAAGACTTAGCCAGAGGGGGCTCGGTTTCCACTGGCCCTTAGATTTATCCCTCTGGTTCCCTGGTCCACCTCCTTCGTTCTCCATGCTGCTTGTCTCCCCCACCTTTAAGGAAAAACTCTTCCTGGAACTTCTCTGTCCTCCTCAGCCACTGGATTTCCTCAGCTGCAAGGCTAAGAGCACAGTTAATGTATACATGGGGTGGGGTTAGACAGGGACTATCTTCAACCGATAGACTCTCTTAAATTTGTTCTTTTATCAGTCGGAAGTACAAACTATCTAGTGGGCTCTGTCCTGGGGTAACATGGGTAGACCGTGGCTTCTTGTAACCTCACAGGATTGAGAGTTCTCTGTGAGATGCATAAGTGAGTTGTTAATGTTTTCTTTGATCCTGTAGCAAGCCAACTTCCTGCCAGGGTTGGTTCTCACAGACAGATCAACCCATTCTGAGCTCATTGGTGAGGAGAACATGAGCACTTGCCTTTGTTTCCTAGGCTGCTGTGACTTCTTAACCAATAGCCAGTCGTACAGTCACATTCCTCTGCTAGTTGTCCAGCATGCACTGGTCCCCGCAGCCCGCCTCTGGTCCTCTCTCTATTTCATCCCCTGCCACTCTTCCTCTTGTCCATTGGTGTGCAGCCATACTGACCACCTTGTTTTGTTACACACACACACACACACACACACACACACACACACACACACCACCCTTGCCTGGCCATTTATTCATTCCCTTTGTCAGAGTGTCAGACACCCTTGTGTGCCAGGGCAGCCCTTCCTCCCTGTAACCGGCTTTTATTGTTTCTTCATTGCTCTGTACATGAGCTGACTTCACATTCTCACCTTTCCTCCTTCCCAGTGCAGTGCAGTTCTGAGCTCAGAGCTCAGAACGGGTGTACAGCCCCACTGTATGCTCAGAGCTCAGAACGGGTGTACAGCCCCGCTGTATGCTCAGAGCTAAGAACGGGTGTACAGCCCTGCTGTATGCTCAGAGCTCAGAACGGGTGTACAGCCCCGCTGTATGCTCAGAGCTAAGAACGGGTGTACAGCCCCGCTGTATGCTCAGAGCTCAGAACGGGTGTACAGAAACGCTTGACTGAAAGAGAGCAGCCACAGCGGGTGATGAGCTGTAAAACACTCATTGCCAGACACCTAGAAGCACTGGGCTGGTCTCTTCTGCAGCGTTGCTGTTGTACCCTCTCCCTGCTCTCCTGAACAGACTGAAAAGGAAAAACAAACACTTGCTGCAGTTTTACTGCAGAATTGCTGTTGTAAGATCTAGTCTTTAGAAACTGTTTTTGTCATACTTTATAACCAAAGCAGGAAAGGTGCTGCCTCACTTTAAGAGAATCAAAGCAGGATTTTCTTTATGATTCTCAGCATTGTGTATCCTGTAAAATGCCCTCCTTTGTGGCGTTAGTCTAAGTGAGCTCCTACAGTCACCCCACACCTGGATGCGAAGGGACTGATGGCAAAGGCCGCCATACTGTTGCATCCTGGTGTAAGTAATGAGGGGTTGTATCGTGAGAGCCCCCTCTTCAAGTGAATGGGTGGGAATGGGGAAGCAGCGAAGGCTGCAGGAGCAGAGAATTCTTTCACAGACTCTTTTTAAGCACTGTACCTTTTATCTGTGCTGAGGCTACATGGAAAGATGGAATTTACCAGGGACAATAATCAGACACGTCTAGCAGTTTGATGGGGGTGGAGAGGAGCTGTCAGAGGAGCCCAGTAGAGGAGCTCTGGAAAGGGGGAATCCTAGGAAGTTTCTCCAAAGAGAGCAGCCTGCCCAGCAGGGAAGCAAGAATACGGCTAGCATCAGTGAACAGGGCCTGTGCAGAATGCAAATGTGGCATCTACCTGCCAGGTCCTCAGAGAACTACAGACATGAAAGCTGACAATGGACATGGTAGGCACACTCAGAGCTCAGTAGTCTGCAAGTAGTGAGGAAAAAAAGAGAAGTTGTCAAAGGACACTAGTATTTAAGGTACTGGAAAGGAAGAAGAACCAGGAAAGCATGTGTCGTTGGAAGCCAGGGAGAGGTTTAGGGGGGATGATCTGATGAAGTGGATCAGTGTCGGGGGCATCAATCCCTCACCAGCCTTAGCCGAGAGCATTTGGCCACCCGTCAAACCACTGAATGCTGGGAGCAAACGAGGGAAGGGGCACTGTTGGCATGGTTGGTGACCCCACTTGCTTCCAGTAGCACCAGACTTTGTGTGTTAACTGTCAGGAATGTTGTATGAAACACTCAGTGAGGGGGTTTGGACAGTGTGTGCTAGCTTTGTAGTCAGCTTTTCCGCACACCCCTGAAACTCTTATCTATCATCAGGATCGAATCCAATGTTCCGTTCAAGACTGCCATGAATAGGATTCCATTAGTCATCTTTTGATTTTCATTTCCTTGATTACTGCTGCAGATAAAAAGGTCTATACATTTAAAGGTATATTTTTTCTGCATTTAGAAACATTTCTGAGCAAGAGCAATACATAAATCTTTTCGTCATGCTAGTCCTCGGGGTAAGGATACAGTTTCACCAGTGAGATCTCCAAACACAGATACAAAGATACACTTCACACAGTCCCATTCAGATAGATTATCAATCAAAAGGATTTGTCCATGGATCCTCGCAGCAGGAGTTCTGAACTTGGTGATTTGCCACCCTCTTCCAGCCAGCAACCCTCTCTCCTTCCCGCTGGTGAGCTGCCTCCTGGAAACTGCCCATGAAGCTGCCTCTGCGCCTCCAGACAGTCCCTTCTAATTGACTGCTGCTCTGCAGCCTGCTGCTGCCGGTGTGCAGCCAGGTCCAGCCCCTATGCCTGCTCACGTTTCTCAGTGGGGGACTGCAGAGCAGAGTGGTACTCCTGGGCTCCTGAGGCTGCTCCTTAACTTGAAGCCATTCATCATGGACTCCTCTTTCTTCCGTCTCACCTGGAGGCTCCCTGTTGATGGTTTATGTCATCCAAGAGATTCAAATAAGAAGATCATAGCGGTCGTAGGTGTGTCTGACACCAGATTCACCCATTTGTTTTCTGCAAGAACTGCTTTGTGTATGCTTGCCCTTCGGTGTCTCACGCTGAGTATGAGGTTTATATTGAATGTACAGATAGAATAACGGTCGTTGGACATTATGCTGGGATCAGATCTCTGATACATTTGGCAGAGCCATCCATTCAGGGCCACTGTTTATGTAGTCTTGTTTAAGCCCCCCGCGCTGCCATGAACTGCACAGAGCCTGCTCCGTTCTCTTCTGACTAGCATCTGCTCTCTTTAATAGTTCACCCTCTTAACTATGAGCCACAAGAATTAAAGCCACACAGTTCCCTTCTGTTTTGTAATTGACATTCTAGTCAGAGCATATGGGTTATTCCTTTATTTTTCTAATACAATAAATAAATGTTCTGCTATACTTTTGAGGTAATGAGGGGTTGAAATGAATTTCAGTATTCTTGCTGTGCTTTTATGATGCAGGTGCAGTCTCTTGCAATAAATTACCAGAGTTAAACAGTTTAAGATCCATAAAGCTCTCTGCCCTGGCATTGCTAAATTAATAGGTTAACGACTGCACATAAGGAAAATGTCAGATGTTAAAAAAAATTTTATTAGTAATAAGCTGGAAATTTGTTACCTTAAAAAGCTTGTATAATCCTTTACAGCCCTCAGCCAGAGCTAATTCTATTATTTCCAGCCTGCAAAGCATTATATGGCCAGACTCTAGGCTACTGTATTTGTGTGGACTTTTAATGAAAGACCATTCAAAATACTTACATTGCTTAATTGAATACAGGGCCCACTTGGGATATGCTTCGCTGCATTTGTCTAGTGTATGGGTTCCAAGCACAGACTCAGTACCACCCTAAAAGCAGAGGCAAAGAAACAGACAACCATGGAAAAGGCTCAGAAGGAACGCCATGTAGATCTCAGGAGCAGTCCCTGGAGGACGGACGGGCCAGGAGATTAGCCGATCCCTTATTTATAGTAGCTGAGAATGTGGAGTCAGGAGGCCAGAAACCCCACTTAGATCTTAGCCCCATCATTTCCAGGATGTGTGGCTTGGGCCAGTTAACCTTCTTACTCGTTTTCTTTTCTTTGCTTCTCTCTCATATTTCTTCCATTGTTCTTTGAGATGGCCTCTCACTGTGTAGCTCAGGCTGGTCTTCACCCAGCGCTCCTCTCTGAGCCGGGATTCCAGGTATTAGATCACACCTAGGAGGCTCCATGTGCCAGCGTGGCCCCAGGTGCAGTGGGCAGATCCAAAGTATAGGCCTCCTGTGGATTAAAAGGAGAATATCTTCAAGTCCTTAAACTAACACTTGGCACACTGTAATCACTGCAAGGGTCTTAGACACGCCGAGTAAGCCAGTGTGCATTTAAACAAAACTGACAGGCAGATTAGTGTTGGCTTTTATTTTGTGCTGTGTATGGGTTGGCGGGTGACAGAGAACAACTTGCTGGAGTTGTCTAGATGACTTTAGCTTCTGTCATGTTGACATAAACTATTCAGCACAACTTGGGTCCCAGGGATTGAACTCAGGTCATCAGGTTTGGCAGCAGGCACTGAACCTGCTGTGCCATCTTGGCAGCCCCTGGTGGTTACTTTTAAACATCAAGAACTGGGTTTGATTAGCTTGCATAGGAATTCGCTGTAACTAGGTCCTGTCTCCAGGATCCTCCAGAGTGAATGGTCATTATACCATTTGAAGGTTCTTTCTCTGGTGTTTACTAGAAATATTCAAGCAAAGAATACACCTGCCTGACCTGACCTGTATCGTTGCAGTGCCTGCAGCTGAATTTGAGGGGAAGGGGGTCAATACAATGAGCTGCCAAAAGTGGATAGGTATTTGTTCGGTTGAAATTCCTTTGTGACGGGCTGTGGCATTGGATTCGAGGCTTTGAAGGTATGGAATAGCTGCCTCTCTAGACAGGGCATTGGAGCTAGGAAGAAATCAACATGGCAAAGGCAGAGTCTTGGCTCTGGAGGGGATGGAAACATTCTGTAATGGGGAGTCATCACATTGGAGAGAGGCTTAAGGGGCTGGAGAGGTGGCTCAGGGGTTAAGAGCACCTGCTCTTAACCTCGCCCAGAGGTCCCAAGTTTGATTCCTGGCACCCACAGAGGTAGCTCACAATGGCCTATAACATCTTGGTAGGCAGGGGTCCAGCTCCCTCTTCTGCCCACCATCACACGCACACTAAAATTTAAAAACAAACTTTAAAAGGGGAGCCTCAGAGGTAAATCCAGGAGTAGGTGCCCAGAGTCTGAAGGTAGGAGTCCCCGTTGGAAGGCTATGCTACCGTGCCAGGGGCCAGGAATGGTTTGAGCCCCAGGAACAAGCTGGCCTGGGTGTTTGGGGACTAGAACGTTTTTTCAGTGTACAATTCTCCTATTACTCACTTTGCCCTGGATGATGGGTGAGACCTCCTCATCTTATGGAGGAGCAGAGGGCACACATGCACTCTGGGGGCAGGTCTTTGGATGTCATCTTTTGCCAGAACAGCCATGTTGCCGGAATATAACTCTACTGCAATGGCAGGATGCAGGGCAATCTCTGCCTTTTCCTTACAGAAACTGCCTCCTCTCTCCCTCTCCTCCTCGTTCCCCTCCCACTCCCCTGAACGTTGGGCATATCCTATCTCTGACTCATTCTGTCAATCTTTTTCTGACTTGTCACTTTGCCCCTCAATTAGACATCATTGTTTAGGATTAAAGGTGTGTGGCATGTCCACACACTTAGAAGGACTTTGGATGTGATCCCTCGCCAGAGCAGCCATGTTGGTAGATTAAAATTTCCCTATAATTTTGGCCACCACAGAACCTACATACACACATGCATACACAGACACACATAAATAGAAATAATTGAATTTCTTTTAATCTTTCGACCTGAGTTCGGGACGGAAGTTCAGTTACTAAGAAAGTTGGATTGGCTTTCTCCATGAGTTTTTCTCCAGCAGTTTTTGTCTTATCTGTGAAATGAATTGTGTCTGTCTAAAAAAATACTATTGAAGCTTTTACTAGAAGAGCATAGCAGTCTCTGGTGGGATTTTCCTTGTTTAATAATTCGTTCCTCGACACGGTGGCACTGGTCGTCTGGAGCGGGATGGGCTTTCTGAGATTCACTGTAAAATAGTGATCATTATTAGCTTTCCAATGCTGTACTAAAGGCATCGTGACCAAAAGCAACTTGGGTGGAAGGGTTGATTGAGCCTGCACATTGTAGTTTGTCACTGAGGGAAGCCAGTGCAGGAGTCCAGGACAGGAGCTAAAGCAGAGCCACGGAGGAATGCTGCTTGCTTACCTACCGGCTTGCACCTTGTGGCTTTCTGAGCCTTCCTTATACCATCCCCGACTGACCACACACCCGGTGGTGGCCCCTCACACACAGTCATTAATCCTGACAAAATGCACTTCAGTCTTGCCTACAGACAATCTGATGGAGGCATTTTAAGTTGAGGTTCCTCTTCCCAGGTGACCATAACTTGTGTCAAGTTGTAAAAAAAAAAATCTAACAGTTACTCCCACAACACCTGTCCCTGAAGTCCATCGATTCTGCCTATTCTCCCCTCCCTGCTCCCTCTGTTTGCTTTCAAGGACCTTGGGCAGCTTTCTGGTTCAGAGCCCTATCCTTAAAAGCCTCAGGTGCAGTGTAACTCTAAAATAAAAGAGAATCTCGGTGCCCTCCTGTGTGACCAAGGTCAGCAGCATGCCTCAAGCCCAGCTGAGCCACACCTCTTCCCAGTGCCACTTGCAGTAAAAATACCATATTTGCTCAAAGAAGAAGCTATTTACAGCGGCCTGCTTATCTGCTGTTGGTAGTTTATCACTCAGTCTGTGACTTATCGCTGCAGCAGTGCTCAGTGTTCCCTTCCTTATCCTCTTTTTTCAATCCTTTATCCCAAAAGTAATGGATATGGAAATGTTGACTGAACTTGCCCTTAGATGTCCCCGATTTAGAAAAGGTTTCTGAGCCTTAATTACCAACGCTGAGAGAATGGCTTTGTTTAGCCAAGAATAATAGGATTCCATGATGCCCCTCGGCAGCTCTGAGCTAATGCTTTTTGTTCTCACTAAAATTTGTTTGATAGTAAAATGCAGAGGAATGAAGACATATTGAGTGTCTTGACCTTTAGAGAAGAAGTTGGTCGTGAAATTTGTCTTTAAGACAAGATGTCCCCTTAGATTAAATTGATTGGCAGAGTCTGGCTTTCCAGCGTGAGGCAGTGAGCATCAGAGCACCGAATGCCCGTTCTCCTCTGTGGCTTCATAATGGGTACTTTGGGTGATTAAAAACCAAGGGTAAAGAAGATGAATAACCTGTCCGAGAGCACCTAGCTAGTGATGGGCTGAGAATTCAGGCTCCTTGCCCGGTTCCTACATCCATGTCCTCTGCTCTCAACCATCTCCGAATGAAAACCTGCCTCGGCACCGCGCGAGCCCTACGCGGTACTAGATTTTCACCATGCGTGTTGAACAGAGAATTCAGCAACTTTCTGTTGTCACCTCTAAAGCCATGCACATTTCCACATCACGCTGTGTGTGACTGAGGTTTCTAACCCCCATTTCCTTTGTCGTAGGTTTTCTACCCTAGCAAGGATGGCACAAAGATTCCAATGTTTATTGTGCATAAAAAAGGCATAAAGCTGGATGGCTCACACCCCGCTTTCTTGTATGGCTACGGGGGCTTCAACATCTCCATCACACCCAACTACAGGTAAGCGGGGGACACCTGACAAGGGTGTGATCGTCTGCACAACGTGGGGATCTGCTAAGTCACATGTTTCTAGCTTGGTGGTATTTCATAGAGGGGCAGGACTTTAGATGAATACTTTAATCTTTACTTAGGAACTGCAGAACCTTTACCAGCCAATTTTAGTCTCATTATTCGATGCCCTCAGTAGGATAGGTTGTTGACATGGCTGCGGAGTCAGTCTACAGCTATGTGGTTATTAAAGACTACCCTCCATCACGGTCTTGAGAAGACTCTCCTGTCCGGTCTCTATTGGCAGACAGCATGTCACCATCTTCTGCATCTCTTCAGAGAAATACTTTCATAGCTAATGATTGTATTTTCTCAGCAGAGGCCTAAAATATATTGTATTAATATTTAGTCATAAATATATTTCCTGAGTACTCAAATGCCTCATGTGTTTTAAACTGTTCTGAGATTATTTTCTAGGTAACAAATGCTTATATCTACATACATGCATTGCCATTATTTGTATAAATAGCTTCTGTCAGTTTTCTTGCAATCTCAATATCCCATTCCTAGTATGAAATGTGATTTGCTTTGAGTGTTTTTAATAAAAGGATTTTGTACTTGAAGCCCCAGCATTAAGCATTCTTCTGAGTAGCACTCATTTGAAATCTGGTCCACAGATTCACCCTGGATCTTTTGTGTTTGTGAAGAGATTTGTGGACTGGTGGTGACTGGGACAAACTAATTCATATCTCTCCATCTGCTGTTCTAAACGTGACTAACTACAAGAAAGATGTTGCCTTGTTTTAGACATTGAATGACTGTAACTGCTCATTACTTTAGATTTAATGAAGTTGAAAGAGGGCTCGTGCCCTCAGCAGCATCCTTTAATTGAGACTGGACAATCCTGAGGAGTTGATTGCTTACTTTGGTTGGCAGAACAAGGGAGCTCTTGTATAAAATCCAGAAGAGCAGTATTTCATGACGAGGGAGGGTTCCAGTCAAATGTCATCGTGGTGGCACTACCCAGGGCACAGGCTGAAGTGAGGCTGGAAGGAAGCGCTCTCCCTGCTTGAACTCTTCTCTGGCCTGCTGTCTCCTTAACTCAGCCCTATCTGTGGTCCCATCACAGGCCACACTGATTCACAGGCCACACTGATTCTGAGACAGTTGATCTGGAAACTCGAGCCAGTCCGTGACTATTAGCTGAGCCTAAATATGGCATTGTTTGCCTTTCTTTATACGCAGCTTCCAGTGATGTGCTGTGGAGGTGCAGGGGTGGTGGCACACGCTCCAGCCAGTGCAGAACGACATGTGCACACTCTCCCCTGTTCCTTCATCCTAGTAGGAGTGAGAGCACCTCGATCCCTGAGTGGATCTACCATGTCTAAAGCTAGCAGCCTATCCATTTGTACAGTAAGTTCCTTTTAGACCTGTAGGCCAGGAATCAAGAAAGGATCCTCAGAGCGTTTGATCTCGGTAGTGGACATCATAGTTTCAAGAGATAGTTTCATCAGAGATGTATGGATATGTAAAGACCAAATCATTAAGTCATCTTGGCTAATTGGACAT